AATCATTTACATTATACTTGCAAGAATATACTTTTTTAATGTATAATTATTTAGAAATATTAAATTATAATAATTATATAATTCTGAAAATAATAAGAATAATAATTAAAGTAACAGACAGAAACAAAAATCTATATTATAATAATTATTTGTAAACTAAAATACTGTTAAAAACAATTATTAAAAATAAAATATAAAAACAATGATCTAATAGAAATAATAATCATTAGTCTTCGCATTCAATTTTTATTTACGAAAATTAGGTGCGAAAAAACGCTAATAAAACGTGTAGAAATACCTTCACTCGTTTTATTGGTATTTTTATATTAATTTTCGGGTTTGAAGCTTAATGTTTTAAAAATAATAAACCGTGATGTTTACTCTTTTTTAAATATTTATCTTAGTTAATTTTAATTCATTTATATTATTTCAAATTTAAAAATGAGTTTTATCATTATTTTTTACAAATCATAATGTTACTAATTTATTATAATATATTAAACAAATTAATTAAATATTATTTAAATATTAATATTTCAAATATTTTTTTTATTAGTTTGATTGGTTTTATTTAAAAAAACAATTGTTATTAATGTAAAAAATGGCATTTGGATTCTATTATTACAGTAGAAAAATTGGGTGTCAGGAATAAATTGGGTGTCAAATAAATGAGGGATTAGTTAATGTAAAAAAATGGGGGTTCGTTTTTTTTTATTTTTTCCCCTCACAAAAAAATATGAATAACCATTAAATAACTCAAAATCAATCTGACACCCAATTTATTCTTGACACCCAAATTCTCTACTATCTGTACCAATTTTATATTTTTATTTTTAAAAGTCAACAAAACAAAAGTTTAACCGGCCAATAGTATTTTTTTTCTTTGGCAAAATGCACGAGACGCAAAAAATTGCATTATTTTTTCTATAAATATATAAATGAAAAAAAAATTCTAAAAATAATTTACATAAAAATTTGATATTGTGAAAAGGCATCTTTCAGCAGTTTTCACATTACAGCCATGCTTCGGGAAAACTTGCTTTTTGAAAAAAATAAGACTAAAAAGATTGTTTTTTGCTGCAAAAAAATTATTTTTGGTAAAGCCAATTTTATAAACATTTAAATAATCGGGACATTAGGTATTGTTAAATTTTATATTTTTAAAGTCAAATCTAAAAATAGAAGACAAAGAAAAATAAATAACATATAAAAAACAATTAGTGTTTTTATTATTGAAATTAGCAAATTTTTTATTAACGTTTATTTTGAAAAACTAAAAAATAAATTTTATAAATATAGTGTATTTTTAAAATTAACGAATAAAAAAGATCAATGGAAAAATTAACTAACAACAATAATTTAATTTTAATGAAATGTTTATATTTGGAGAAATGATAGTTTTATGAAGTGATTAAAAAAGTTGGAAATCAAAATAAAAAATACTGTTCGAAACATAAAAAGGTGAGATAAAAATGAAATAATTAATAAAAGACGGGTTTTAACTCTTTAAAAACAATGTTTTAAATCATTTACATATCATATTGATTACTATAACAAAACATTCAAATGAATTAATAAGAGATATACGAGCTTTTTTGTGTGTACAGTGGACAAAATAGGGTTCCGTCTTATTAACCGCTTCCTATTGTTCTAATAGTTATAACCAATAAAATTATTTTCAAATCAAAATACAAATTACCACCCCCAAAAGAAAAAGTCTCAACAGGCATATTCAGCGTTCATTGTAAACAGTACCATTCATTTTATCAGATTAATATAATTCAAATCTAAAAATCAAGTGGAAGCAGTCAAAAAGAATAAAAAGTTTAATATCCACCTGTAATTATCATTGTTATTTTTTTTAAAAACAAATAATGTAAGTGACGTTGATTTTTTGATTGTATTTTTAGTGATATTAAAATGGCATTTCGTTTAAACACGGGAAAATAGCTTATAATGAAATGGCGATAATTTGATCATCTAACCACGCCGATATCCATCGATTTTTTATCAACTTTTTTTGATAAATACATCTAATCAAGTTATTTTGAATAATTATATTTTTTCTTAACTATCATTTTAATGTTTTTTTAATGATACACCAAAATTACTATTTTATTTTGCTTACACCACAATAATTATTAAAAAAAATACAATTTAAACATTATTTTTATTAAATATTTACAATAAACATAAAACAGTTTTTATCACAAGTTTTTCAATTGACCAGTATTGTTTAATTAAGAAAACCAATCCAAAATAATACGTGGTATCGTTGTAGAAGGTAAACATATTATATTATACTTAATAAATAACAACACGATTCAAAGAACAATTTGTTTATAGCATATTTAGGTTTCGATTTTTAGTTTTCAAACACACATAAATATGTGACAAGTAATTATTTTCCCTTTGCCTAAAAGTTATAACAATTCACACAAAAAGTTATCAACACAACAAAACATTTAAAAATTATAACTTATTGATTAACATTTATATTAGAACAATTGTAAATCTTAATGTAATATTTTCTTAGAGTTATAATTGTCAATTGTTTTTTTTTTGAAACTATCGTTTTATCACTGTGACATTTTGTTCAGAAAACAAACCATAGTTGACAACACTGTAAAAATAAGAATCTTTTTTATTTTTTTAAACAAATCAAAGAAATCATACGATTGTTACTTTATAATAAGTTTAACAAAAAGTTGCAAAAACTTTTTTAATAAGTTGCAAAAACGTGATAGTGTATACGGCTACATGTTTTAATTGAATAATTGATTATAAAATTGGTTGTTAACTTTGTATAAAAACATCAAACTGTAATAGAAAACAATAACATCAAAATTAATATATTATAACGGGTTAGATCATTAAAAGTATTTGATAAAAGGTTGTTGAT